ATAGTGAATGAAAATAGATTTCCCATCTATTCATATGGCTGAAGATTTACTTCTTGAAAGCGTTTCTTTAAATACTCTCAAGATTTGCGATGTAATTCAGAACATGTGGTCCTATTTCTTCAAACCTTTAATCTTTTTCGTCTAGGTACTCATGTTGACAAATATTTATGGGGTGTAAATTTCATAAAGGCTTTTCCAAAGAGCAGTCTTCTTCGTGCATACCAAAAGCTTATCAAAAAGCTGGAAAAGATTATATTTTGACCTTGAAGAAAGGAATTTAATCCGTTGAATGTATGAAATGTATCTGAGAGGTATGGCGAAGGGGGGGGTTAAAGTACTTCTTATCTAAGAAATGTTGTTATATTGGGGCACTTGTTATTTCTTTTTTCAGATTAACTAATCTTAAGAACTGCATCCCTCATAAACCACCTGACGTCAGAAAGAAAGAGAACCGACTTACCGCCTGACTGCATAATTCAGATCATGTGACTTTACTTCTTCAGACGCATAATTCTCTTCTTCCGGATATTCAGGTTGACAGACATTTCTACGGTGTATATTTCACAAAAGCCTTTCCAAAATATCTTCCTTTTCGTGAATGCCAAAATCTTGCCAAAAGTCGGAGAAGATTATATTTTGACCTCGAAAATAGGAGTTCAATCAATCGAGTTTGACAGATGTATCTCAGAGATCGGTGTCAACATGATAGGAGGTAAGAAATTTCTTATGTAAGAAATATTAATGTAGTTTAGGACCCAGTTCCTATAGATATCTGCGTATTTCTCTTTTTCAGATTAACTAATCGTTTAAGAAAGGCTGTGCCATAGATCAGGCGGTTAGTCACTGGCTCCCCACTGTGAAGCACGGGTTTGAGCCCGGGTCAGTTCATGAGGGATTTGTGGTTGACCGAGTGGCAATGGGACGGTTTTTCTCCGAATACATCGGTAGTCCCTTCCAATCTTCATTCCACCAATTACTGGGGCTAGTACAATAGGTCAAAATTGGCCATAGTACCAAGAGGACCGAAGTGGACTCAGTCTCACCCCACTAAGAATAATGAAAAATAATAAATATTCGTTTAAGAATTTCATCCCTTGTAAACTACCTCACGTCAGAAAGGAAGAGAGGTGACTTCTGGTGTGACTGCATTCCCTCACTGAAAATACGTGAGAGTTCAGTAGGCGAGCTTATGCAGATTTACGATTTTCACTGCCCTTGCAGCATAGAACGCAATTCTGGTTCAAGGTCACGTGATGCTAAAGTCTCTCTCTGAAAAATGTGATGTGCAAAGTTCACATGAGGAGTAATTTGCGGTACTTGGCTTGAAAATCTATCCTGCTTCCTGCTAAAGCTGCCGCTCCACAGTACAATATATTCTGTTGTGAAGTTTCCATTTACTTCCTGTACATCTGCCTGAAGGTGTTTCGCAGAACATGAAATTTCTTGATGTTTCCCTCGAAACAGGATTTGACGAATACGAGTAGCTGAGCAAATCCTGCAATGTATGTTGATTCTTCGGTCTGATGAGAAAATTGTGGACTGCATTTGATCACGGTCTGCAGTTGTTCCATGCTGCCACCTGGAACTGACTCAGGGTGTAGCATTGTTGTATTTTTAGTGAAAGCAATTGGTTTGAGAGCTCAACCGTATTTCTCACCATGCATAATTCACATTTTCCTTCATAGCTGTTGGAAGCAATAACTTCTGTACGATGGTGTGTGGTTTCTAATTTTTGGCATCAAATGAGGCGAGAAGTGCTTTTATCGATGTGGTGACTCTAGTTATCATTATGCTTGACTGTTCACGTTTTTCTAACAGTTACATTTAAAAATGAACCGTTGCCTAGCAACGATAGTGGATACACGTCCAGACACACAGACTGATGGGAAGGATTTTTGAATCTCAAAGGTTCTCTCAGGTACCAAGATATACATACGAAATTTAATAGAAATTGGTTCAGGCATTCGAAAGTTGATTGAGGGGAGATTAATAGACACAAAGATGACATGGTGATCTCATAAGCTTACATTTGTTTAATCGAAATGAGGAAAGTACGTTAAAACTATGTAATTGATTATTACAGAAAGATTGCTGTTAAGTGCTACACATATTTCTTGCAGTGACATTATTATTTGCGTGAAGTACATCTCAGACTGCAAACCGGGAATTATTTTCCGAGTTTACGATTGCATACGTAAAACCGAACGTCAGGCAGTCCGTTTGATATTTTTCACGGTCCACGACATCTAGTTTGCGAATTACTGAAGTATAAATAATGCCGTCTTCTGGAATGTGGTTCCACCTGCTTACGCTGGTTCCTCCGAAACGTCAGTTTACACCATATCTGCAAGTGGCCACATCCCAGAAAACGGCATTCTTCAAAGTCACCGCCGTGGAAACCTCAATTCTTACATACTAAAGTATAGTTTCTAAGTATAAATTCAGTTACTTTTCCAGAACTTAAAGAAGTATTGTGGTCAGATATTTTTGACGAAGTTCGTTTTTATCAAATTTCCGTTGAAATTTAAAGCTAGTTACTTCATAAATTTTGTTTTTCTCTCCTAATGAATTAGACTACGACGTATCAGACTACATTAGTGTCAGGATCTATGTGGGAAGAAAATAGGACACTAGATCTTTAACTAAACAGTCTACTTGTAGAAAATTGCGGAGTGAGATGACCAGTTGTACAAAGATGGAATTACTTCAGTGACCTTAAATATCATTCATTTTAGGTCCAGTTTATTCCTGAAGGTACAAATTAATTATCTGAAAATTAATGACACTATAGATATCAGTCTGTGAGCCGGCATAACGTAGGCGGTATAGCGTCTAGCTACTGGCTGGACGACCGAGGTTTCGGAGTTCGAATCCAAGTAAGGTAAAGAATTTTCTCTTCTCTACGTCGTCCAGAAAGCCTCTGGCGTCCACCCAACCTCCTACCTAATGGGTACCACGGACACTTTCCCCGGGGATAAAGCGGCCGGTGCGTGAAGCTGACCACACACCTCCAACTAGTGCCGTGACGAAGAAAAGTATGGATCTATACACCCACTCCCCAATACGCCTTCAAGGTGTAGTGCTTAATTAGTTAAGCACAGGGACAACTTTACCTTAATTTTATAGATGCCACTTGGCATAGCTTCCCAAATAATGCGACGTGGTTGGCGCAACGGGAAGTGGGGGTCGCGTGAAATCTGTGGGCCAGCTGTTTTCTATTTTTCCATTTTTCTTCTTCTTATCCTTCTCCTTTGTTAAATAATGGCAGGAGCACTCTAATTACTTCAGCTCTGAGCAGAATGTGGGCTGTATTAAGCCGGTATGAACCAACGTACGAGAGGAGATGCTATCGATATACGTTCAGGAGTTCAGGAGTTTCAAAGACGAAGCTCGCAGGAGTACAGAGCTTCAGCGCACCCTTCTTATAAACATTTTGTGACAGTAAATGTTTCACTTAAAACAAATGACACGTTTTTGTTTTCAAGAACTGATTGTTCTTAATGACATAATTTTTCAATTATAAATGTAGAGCTATCCCTGTAAAAGCCCGTGAAGGCCCATAAAGTTGTGAGAGGTCGAGGCTCCCACATTTTCTAGACAATCGGCTCACAGATGACGGGCGGTGAGATTGTCAACCTTAGGCGCCGGCCGTCCTTTACCCCCCAGAAATATTCCTGGTACACATTTCTGTTAGAGTCGATGGACATTTTCCTCGCATGACATGTAATAGTCCTTAGCGAAACCATTAACCTATAGAATGTACGTAATTCTGATTGTTAATAAATAAGTTCCTCCGAAAATTTCTGTTAGAGGCTGATTTAGATCCCAAGGCCATAGTGGGGCTGGAACGATTAGGTCAATTGAAAAATCCAATGACCTCGTCGGAATTCGATCCTGCGACCTTCCGGTCTGTAGCATAGTGCCTCAACCAAATACGCTACCGCATGCCCCCTAATTTTTCTATTATTTTGGTAATATTTATATTTGCTGATCCTAAGGAATTCCCCCCCTTCTTATTTAAAAAATGTGGAACGCAAATAAAATATAAAAATAATTTCTTGTGCCCTCCTGAATTGCCTTATGAAGATTTCGTTTCCCTCTTCATTGCCAAAAATAGCGGCTGGTAACTTTATTTTGTTGTTTCTTTAAGTAGCCATTTTTAGCTTTATCCTGTTGCCCGAGTCGTATGAGGGCCACGGATGACGGAGAATCCATATACAACCATGAGGACATACACACAGAATCGCAGTGAAAGTAAATGTCTAAAATCTATCACAAAACATCTGTGTATACTACAGGAAGCAAACCGCGGCAGTACAAGTTGTTTAATAATGGGATTACTGTATTTAGAACCAGCCGTCAAAGAGTATCAGTGGTCCAACTGTCAATATAACAGGACAAAAGTTATGTTATATTGCTCTGTTTAAGAAATTTCAGATTTCCCGCTCTCTTGTTGGGTTTCGTAATTTTAGGATTAATTCACTCCATGTGTATTGTATTACTTCAAAATTGCTTGCGTTCATAAAAAACTCCGTGGCCTGTACTCCGCAAGCTAACTATACCGACCGAGTGACCACCCCTTGTCGGCGAAGTTAGTGCCAATTTTAGCGGATAGAGGGTGTCGCATGGTCAGTACAACGGATCCCTATGACCGTTAGTCTCTGTTTTATAGACCGGAGCCCCTATTTCCTTGAAATAGCTCTTCAATTATCCTCACGAGGATGAGTGAACCCCGTTCTAGACCCACTACTTCTCAGAAAACCCGATAGCGCCGGGAATCGAACCCGGGACTTCCTGATCTGTAACCAGGAACTCTGACCACTAGACCACAGAGGCGTTCATCTGATAGAGAGAAAAAAATCTTAATATTATGAAATTAGGTGGTCATCGTCTTTTTCACAAAAATCCATCATTTGGATCCCTTCTGCGTCATATTTTCCTAAAAATTAATTTTAATATTATCTTTTCCTCTGTACTGCCTTATGGCGCGATGTACTTACGTCATTTCGGCCGTCCCTCCACCTTACACTTGAATGCCGCTGTCACTAACACAGAAAGCGGAAGGTGAATGTTGCAGGTACTTGTCTGACGTTACTAACTGGCACACGCGTCCCTGATCCTGGCTATAGTACATGGTCAGGTGATACCAACTGTTTCCCCACTCTTCCTCACAACAATATCACTTTCAGAGTAACAGTGTAGATGTTAGGATTGGTCCGACTCACCAATCCGAAGCGTGTTTTACTTTACTTGTCCAGAAACGAAGTCTGTAAGAATGTTGGCAACACTACGTTGCCTCTAACCTAATGGAAGGTCGAAAAAAAGTTCCCTCGTAGCACCATTGTAATTATTATTCCTGTTTCCTTATAATTACGTGTGAAATTGTTTCTCAATCTGTAGGATTTGATGTTCTCACAGAGATGGTTATAAAGAGTTCCATCTTCAGGGTTATAACGCCACGCAGTCCGTTGAAATTCAATCGACGTTCCGTAGGAACATGTCACCTCCACCTTCAGGTTCAAAGAATAAGCCGAACAAGAAACCAGTATGAGAGCTCGGATTATTCTTTGACTCTGAAGGTGGAGGTGATATATTCCTACGAAACGTCGATTGACTGTCAATGGACTGCAAGACATATCCCAGATGATTTTTTATTGCTAGTGGGGTGGGACTAAGTCCCTTATACTGCGGCCACTTCTGGCCTATTGTACCAGCCCCAGATGATAGGTGAGGGTCATTGTGGAGCAATTGGTGGAATGAAGATTGGCAGGGGAAACATAAGTACTCGGAGAAAACCTACCCCAGCGCCACTTTCTCCACCACAAATCCCACTTGACCAGACCCGGGATCGAACCCGGGCCGCCGCGATGGGAAGCCAGCGACAAACCGCTTGAGCTACGGCGCGGCCTATCCCATATAATAGTGCTCTTCTTAGTTCATCAGTCTTAAGGGAACAGGCCTAGTATAGAGTGGGGATGTTCGAGAACATGGGGATAAGAATAACTCAAAACATAAACAGAATGAAGAAAATTACATAATGAAGACGCCTAGTAGTGTTCAGATTATAAATTTAAGGACTGAAGATGCAGGATCTATAGCAGTCAGGGAGAAATAATGACACAATTATTTTCTGAAGAGACCACTTGGAAGTTCTAGGGGTATATGGAAGATATTATTAAAATTGTTTCGAAAGCAGAGACTGCAGGATACTAAGCTGACTCAGGACAGGGTCAAACTATAGGTTTCTGGGACATGGTAATTAATCTTCCGATTCCAAAATTCTGGGAAATTAGTGATCATCTGAGCGACTGCCAGTTTTTCAAAAAGGGTTTTGTATCATGAAGTTTATTGTGGCTTCCACTTTCTTTGAGACTAAAATCTGAAAGCGGGCAGAAAGAGTTCGGTCCAGTACAAACTAGAGAATTGCATTCTTTTACTGCGTGCTTTCTATCGCAAGTGAGCAAAACGAGGAGGTTCAACCGCCTCCTAGATTATTCAAGTGATGAGGAATGAAATTTGCATTAGATCATGCTTTGCTCTGTTCATCAAATGCGTTTCTACTCTCTCTCTCTCTCTGTATAGCTTTAAAGCCCCTTGGACCTTGGCCTCATTTTCAGTTTCTTAATCCTATACACAGTCGATAGGACTCAATGGACGGGAGATCAGTCGCAAGGCCGCTACCTGCACACAGAACAAAAGAAAAACAGAATAGACGCACAGAGACATCTATGACTTGAGTGGGATTCGAACCCAAGACACCGATGTTCAAACGAGCGAAGAGAGTTCATGCCTTAGCTCTCGCGCGGCCACTGTGACGGCTATGCTTTTCTACTAACGTGAATAATTCAAGGGAGGTGATAGGTGCAGAAGAGGTCGAATGCATGGGAGAGAATAGAATTGCACACAGACATTTTGTCGGAAAACCTGAATTCGCCTGTAAATGTCTAGGCATGGATGGGAGAATTTTATTAAAATAAATCTTATGGAAAGGGTCTGGGGGTGTGAATTGGATTTATTTGGGTCAGAACTGACAGCAGACTCGAGCATACATCCACGCTAATAAATTTTTTGAGTGCCGTAAAAAGCGATATAGTTCTTGAATAGGAGAACAACTTTAGATTTTCAAGAATGATTCTGCTACACGTTGTTACGTTAAATATGACGAGAGATGCACGTTACTGCAGTTACTATTCATAGTGTAACCTTACTTTTTTTCAATTTCCGTTTAGACCATTCGAAGCTTATTTAGCGCAACATTCAGATTATATTTAGCGTCAAGTGGTTGAGTGAACGGTACACATTGAAATGAAAAGTGTCTGGTTGGAAGGAGTATTGACATAATTCTAATTTTCCAGAATTCGCCTAGAGGGACTGAGAAAAACCGCGAAAGCCACGAAGAATTAGAATTGTCGGCCTCCGGGCACAGAATTAAATCCAAGACTTCCATAATTTTAAGTAGGAAAGATGCCAATAGGATGCAAGCGGTAGCGCATTTGTCTGAGACACTATGCTAGAAGCCGGAAGGTCGCGGATTCCATTACCGATGAGGTCATTGAGATTTCTTCAACTTACCTAATCCTTCCAGCCGCACTATGGCCCTGGTGTCGACCCATCCTCTAACAGAAATGAATACCAGGAATCTTTCTTTTGGTTAAAGGTGGCCGGAGCGTAAGTCTGGCCTCACCACCATCTGTAAGCCGATTGTCTAGAGAAAATGTGAGGGCCTCGAAGTCTCACAACCCTATGGGCCTCCACGGTCTGTTACAAGGATAACTTTACCTTTTATGCTGTCAGCAATTCGCAAAGTTCAACTTTTTTTATTGTTATAAAAATGTTATACAAGCTTATGGAAATTTAATTTGCGTTTACATTTTCAATTATATTACAATTATCAGCTACCACGAACGCTATAGCCTAGAATAGAGGAATCTAAAAATCTATTTTAAAATAGTGTAATGGTGACTAAAATGGCATGATGACATCATAATCTGTTATATAGTAAGTCAGGATTGAGAAAAAAACGACGTGTACAAGAATTTACCTTTAAGTAATTGGTCACTCCAGTGACAAACAGGTTAGTGAAATTTCTATACGAATTATCGCCCTGACCTACTCATCAAAGTGTAGAAATTGAAACGGACTCGACAGTCTTTCTACAGCGTATAGATTACAAAGTGGGCCCACATGAATACGCATGACATGCATAAAACATTGAGTTAGAAAAAAAAATTCGTGACCTCTTTCTCTATTACGAAGTATATAATAAATTTCTGGTTTCCTTAGCAAGTGCTAAAGGTAAAGTTGTACCTGTGCTTAACGAATTAAGCACTACGCCATGACGGTGTGTGGAGGAGTGGAAAATATGGACATATACATCCTTACTGTAAATTTTAGGTATGGTAAATGAACAATTTTTATGCCCAAGGGGACATCTTTTCCTGCATGGCACGACAGACAAATGCAGTCCAAGATCTACAGTTACCGGGTTTCGAAATTTTATTTGCAGTTATTTCGTATGACCTGTCGCAGATCCTCTATACAAAAAGAACACAGATAAGGAAGAAAATATTCATCCACTTCCCGAGTGGGATTCGAACTTACGAAGCCGGTGTTCGAGCGGTAGAAAGTACTACAGTATTACCGGCCTAAAGAAACATCTCTCAGAAAATAATATGAATCCCAGGGTCAGCCAAACATCAGTTAAACTCACAGAAGTATGACTTTTCTCAGCATTTATTCAATAAAATTCTGTTTTGCCTAAGAGTGGCTGGCTTGGTTCTGGATAAGATTTCGGGGTTCTCAGGACGGCAAAGATTAATTTTGTGACCTTCTGGTTTATAGTACCGTGTAGTCTGATAGGTTGGTAACAACGTTTCAGAGGGACATACTGTCTCCATATTTAGACCTGATAACGTAACAATATTTTGGAGGCTCATGTACCAGAGTGTATAACACGGAAGGCAACCACATTGTAGCGGTTTTCTCAGGGGGTCAAAAAACTGCTATGTAAGTACCTTGAGGTGAAAAAGTAAAAAAAAGTAAAACTAGGTACTTTTTTAATGTAGTGGACGTTATTCATGGTCTAGTTTTGTTCATAAAAAGGTTATGCTTCGGAAATTTGTTCTTTTTCCGTCTTCAGGCAAGGGGGAACATAAATTAGATAGTCATTTAAAATGACCTAGCCTCAAGCGGTACCGCTCACACTGTCGGGACGGTCTGACGCACGCAATGGCTTCGCTCGAACACTGGGATCGTGGTTTCGAATCCCTCTCAAGGCATGGATGTCTGTTTTAAGCCGGGTGCCTCTCGAGGCAACGCTCGATGCTTTGTCTCTGCCGCGCCAAATCGGAGCGGTTCTTGGTCCCGCGGCAAAGTGATTTCAGTGGGCTGTGCTCTTTCAGTTGAGACGGTCTTCTGGCGTCGCGGAAAAGGAACAGCGTCGATCAACGGACGCACGCGCCTGTCTTGCTTCGATGCTGGACACGACCACGGTAAATAAATGAATGAGATTTCCGCGCACGAACAGCTGCGCGCGAAAGTTGCGCACAGTCAATACCCCGCCTGAGGTAGCGTCCTTGGAACAGGCTAATTCCCCTTCCAAGGGGTCCTACCAACTGTCTTAGAATAAGAAACTGAACTGAAACGAAGCGTTTCACGGATGACCCTTATGCTCGAAGTGAGAGCAACAGAAGAAGAAGAAGAAGAAGAAGAATTCGGCGGTGGCTGAAAATTAAATAGCATATTGGGCTACAGGTCTAGAGCCTACCTTGGGTGAGGGGGATCGCCTGGTTAGGTAACAGAGCTTACATAACTGAAGCAGAGACCAGCGACATCAGCGAATCTGTCTTGAATAGTAAAACCTTGACTCTTGTTAAGCCAGTTTATTAACCCACTTTCGACATTTAACTGCCCATGACTTCATTTCTTCTCGAAATTATTTGTAACCAGCAAACTGGTTCCTTCTATGCATGCTTGATTTTCTCATTCGTATGGGTTTCACCACAGCAGTCAAAATAATAGCCCACTCGGTGCGACTGTTGAAGGAAACGTTCAGTGAACGGCATAAAACACATGTCCCGCCTCTCAAATCCAGGGGACTCTTGGGACCAGACATAAGCCGGTCCAGATAATTTTCTGAACAGCGGGTTGTCAAAATATTGCTGTACCATATACCTAAATGCCGATTA